CAATACTAACAGACTGTATCTTAAAACCACAGACAATACTTACAGACTGTATCTAGGAACCACAGAAAATACTTACTGACTTTATCTAAGAACCACAGACAATACTTACAGACTGAATCTAGGAACCACAGACAATACTTTCAGACTGTATCTAAGTACCACAGACAATACTTTCAGACTGTATCTAAGTACCACAGACACTTCTTACAGACTGTATTTAGGAACCACAGACAATACTTACAGAATGTATATAAGAACATCAGACAATGCATACCAAGGTTTGCTGTGGGTAAATTATTTCAATTTGCCTTACATATTTTATCATCTACATTTTATAACTCATTGTCTCGTGTACATACCTTATATCTTTCATTATCTATATTTTACTGGTTGTTTCATGTACATTTGCCTTATATCTTTCATAATCTGTATTTAACTAAATTAGACTAATGCCTTTGTTTTTCTGCTTGTATAGGTACAGTAAAAGTACATTTCAAAGGCAAAACATCAAAATTTGACTTCTAAAAACACACAAGAGTGCACACACTGAAATGTCTCACCTGCTTTACTGACCATTGATTTTATGAGTCTTATAGATTAAGGTTTCACTACAAGTATCACAGACAATTCACATTTCAGATAAATCCTGTCAGACACACATGCACACCTTACAATAATTCCATATACCAAATATAGTTGATCTATTGCTTATGTAGTACTTTAAAAAAAGACCAAAACACAAAAAACTTAACATTGACCAGTGAATCATGAAAATAAGATCAAGGTCAGATGAAACCTGCCGGACTGACATGTACCCCTTACAATCATTACATACACAACCTATAATTGACCTAATGCTTCCAGTATTTTAGAAATGGATCTAATCACATAACTTTAACATAAAATGAGGTCAAGGTCAGAAGAATCCTGTCTGACTGAAATGTAGACATTGCAAGGAACCCATATACCAAATATAGTTATCCTATTGCTCATAGATGTAAGAAATTCACATGACAAACATTGTTTTTCTGTAAGCAGATGCTGAACCATGAAAATGAGGCTGAGGACAATGGACATTTGACAGAGGGAAATTTCGTAACATATGGCATCTGCAGTATCTAGGCCTTTTAACTTTTGAAATATAAAGCTTTATATAGACAAAAAATGAAATGAAAGGTGTTTTAAGAAAAATGATCCTGTAACATGATAAAGTCATGTATCATTATTTAAAACCATTACATATTGCATAGACTGTATATAAAAACAATAGAAACAGCATACATGCTGCATGTTTGAATATTGGAAAAATACATTCAGACTAGATCTTGGAACTAGACATAACATACTGAATCACAGACAATACATACATGCATACATGTAGACCCTTTCTAAGAAACCCACATAATTCACACAGATTGTATCCTGATCTAGTTTTACTTAGTTAAAATAGCAGTCATCATTTAATAAAAAATCATTTCACACATGCTTAGCTACAATACTAAGTCCAATGCAGGCTTTATATTGCATTCCTTCTGTAAACAGGCAATGTGACTTTGAATATGACAGTACAACCCTGTTGAAGCAATTTTCTCTCTTGTTTTCTATCTTTTGCTGTTTTATTTTCTATATGATGCAAGTTATATTTAAATGCCATATCTATTATTGGAACAGCTTTCCTTTTAATATACATATTGGATAAAAAATCAATCAAAAAATGTTTTAATTAGTTTTGTTCTTTATTATAAAACTTTTAATTTTTCTAAATTTGTATATAGGTAAATGAATACATTACCATAAATACCTAAATAAAGTTTACACAACATTTAAAGAAAATTATCTATACATTAGTGACATGCATAAAGCACAATTTATATTTATCATGCATAATATTATGGTATAAAACAAAATAGACAAAAAAGTAACCAATTAAACTAGAGGCTCTCAAGAGCCTGTGTCGCTCACTTGGTCTATATGCATATTCAACAGGGGACACTCTCCAACATTGTAGACGAGAATAGAATTAATGACAAAAATCTCTGGGATTTTTTTTGTATCTTATATTGCTGATCATTGAAGTCTGTTTAGTTTCTCGCTATCTTCATGATCTTATTTAGCTTTTGCTCTAAACACAAAAGAGGGTAAAAAAACTCCTATAAAGAGTAACAGTCTACTTATTATATCAGCAAAATTTGACTTGTTAGTAGGTCTCGTCTTGCTTATCATTTTTGATTATTTAAGTTTCTATCTATCTATTATAATTAATATCATACAAGGAAAAACGCCAAAAAAATGGTAAAAATCATAATTAAAGGGCAATAACTCCAATAAGGAGTCGTTGGACAATTTCTGCCATTTGTCTTAATTGTAGATTTTGTCTTGCTGATCATTTTTGTATATTTAAGTTTCTTTCTATCTATTATAAGTTTTAAGATATAAGACAAAAACGCAAAAAAAATTGTACAAATCGGCATCAAAGGGAAATAACTCTAATAAGGAGTCAACTGATGATTTCAACCATAAGACTTATTTGAAGAACTTGTCCTTCTGATCATTTTTGCAATTTACAGTTTCTCTCTATCTTTTATAGTTTTCAAGATATGATAATAGACAAAAATCGAAAAAAAGTGGTAAAATTAGTCATTTAAGGGCAATAACTCCTACAGGAAATTGTCTAACAGTTTTGACGTATATGGATAATTGGTAGAGCTCAACATTCTGAACAATTTTACCCTCTTCAGATTTCCTCTTTTTATAACGGTTATCAGAATAATAGACAAAACTTGCATTTTACCCCATTTGTTCCATTTTTTGCCATTTTTTGCCATGTCGGCCATCTTTGTTGGCAGTCAGGGTCATCGGACACATTTTTTAAACTGAATACCCTAATGATGATTGTGGCTAAGTTTGATTCTATTTGGCCCAGTAGTTTCAGAGGATTACAAAAATTACGAAAATCGTAAAAAATTGACTATAAAGGGCAATAACTCCTTAAGGGGTCAATTGACAATTTTGGTCATGTAACTTATTTGTAGATCTTACTTTGCTGACCATTATTGCTGTTTACAGTTTATCTCTATCTATAATAATATTGAAGATAATCACCAAAAACTGCAAAATTTTCTTAAAATTACCAACTCAGGGGCAGCAACCCAACAACGGGTTGTCTGATTTGTCTGAAAATTTCAGGGCAGATAGATCTTGACCTTATGAACATTTTTATCCCATGTCAGATTTGCTCTAAATGCTTTAGTTTCAGAGATATAAGCCAAAATCTACATTCTACCCCTATGTTCTATTTTTAGCCATGGCAGCCATCTTGGTTGGCGGGCCGGGTCATCGGACACAATTTTTAAACTAGATACCCCAATGATGATTGTGGCCAAGTTTGGTTAACTTTGGCCCTGTAGTTTCAGAGGAGAAGATTTTTGTAAAAGTTAACGACAAGTGATGAGAAAAGCAATAATGAGCATAACATGTGAATAGTTAATTCCAGTTTAAATATTCATCATAATCTAAAGTAAAATTATTTGCAATAATGAAGTATTAGCATATCATAATCATTATGTATGTTTTTCTGTATTTACAACATTTAAAAATCACATTGTGAGGTATATTAAACTAGATGATAAATGCATCCTCTATGCAATGAAGAAAATCCCCAATGAAAAATGAGATTTAGAACTAACCTGAATTATACAAAAAGAATCACTGGTGTGACACTTTCCAAAGTTTTTTGTATGGAGTCTTCATAATTTTTTTTTTTTAGAAATTTGTATTTAATGTATGCCAAGATTCTCGTATCTTTATTTAGAGAGGCATCCATAGTGGACAGTCCTTATGGTATATATATTTTTTTCAAAACTAAACATAATTGGGGGGGGGGAGGGATTTATACTACACATATCAAGAAGAAAAAAACACAGTCTATACCTACAAGGTATTCAAGAATGACATCTTAATATTATGAAATAAACAAATTGAAGAAAGTAACCTTACTAAAAACTTTAAATAGTTGTCAATGGTACTCAAGTAGGAAAAGGTATAAAAAAACATCTAAAACACATCTAATAAACTGCTTCGCTGAGCACAGCTGGATACGCCTGCAGAGGTCCAACCCTGAACAGTTGGGGCAAAAATGGACACAATATTCAATCTTGATACAGGTCTGAATTTGGATTGTAATTAAATATTTGACATATTATAGGTTTCTGAATTATTGAAGTAAAGAACTTGAAATTGGTTATATGAATTGAATTTATGTTCAATTAAAGATTTCTTGCTGTTGTGCAATACACTGTGCTGTTGCTCAATACTAAATAGTAAATCTGTTGTCAGACTATAAACAAACAATAACTTATCAATGTTATATCAGAAATTTATAAAAAAAAAATAAAGGGAGGTTATCTTAATAGATATAAATCAGTCATCAAAGTTTAATGAAAACTGCCCTAAGCACTTTAAGGATATTGTCCAAAAACTTGAAAATCACCCCTTTTTTATGAATAAAATCTTATAACTCGGAAACGTAAAATCTAAAAATTTATAAAAATCAAAAGGGAGCTTACAACAATAGATATAAACAATTTACCAAAGTTTCATAAAAAATGCTGAAAGCATTTTTGAGTTATTGTCCGACAACTTGAAAAACCCCCTTTTTGTAATGAATAAAACCCCATAAATCGAAAACATCTAGTCTAAAATTTATAAAAATCAAAAGGGAGCTCATGTCGATAGAAATAAACAATTCACCAAAGTTTCTTGCAAATTGGTGAAATTGTTTTTGAGTTATTGTCCAAAAACTGGAAAATCCCTCCTTTTTTAATGAATAAAACCCACAAAACTCGGAAACGGTTTCATGCATATTGGTTAAAGCGTTTTTGAGTTAATGTCCGACATGTTGACGATGGACGGGCGGACTGACGGACAGACAGACGGTCAACGATATACCATAATACGTCCCATAAACGGACATATGAAAAGGAGAAATTATAAAACAGATATATCAGAACAATACATTTCCTGAATGTTACATTACTCTATCATAGTGGTAAAATATAAAACAAAAACTCAAAACTAAGTGCAATAAAACAAGTCTTCTCTGTTCTTTAAAATTGTTCTTGCCCTTCACTCTTTGACACTTGTATGGCAAGCACTAAGATTAGTCTTGATAAACCTAAAATAAAATGGCTTCCATGTAAAATTCACAAAATCTGGTTCAATTATTGAAATAAACATTCATTCTAAATGAAAAAAAAAAAAGTTTGAACTGTTTTGATCACATTTCTACTGGAAGTGTTTAACGACCTTGACTGGCTGTTCAGCCCTCGAACGTTCGGTCATCACATTTCCACAAGATGACTGGCTTTTCCTATGATATATTAAACTCAATTTGGAATGGTGTCTTGTTTCTGATCTTCCAGTTTGGACATGTTACAAAAAATACCCTTTTTTGGTTTAAAAATATTTTACCAAGTATAATTCATTATATGACTGGAACATCTTTAGCTTAAAAGGTAGATTAAACTATCAAAAAATTAAGTGTGATTAAGCGTATTTAAATTTTTTATAAAAAAAAAAATAAAATATTAAAATCAAGGGCAGATAATTACATTGATTTGATAGGACAATTTGTTTTGTTTTTATGGGCGGATAGACAGACAGGGTGATTCCTATTATTTAATCACCTGAAAAACTTTGTGGGATGTATAATAAGATGGATAAAGTACAAGATTATATCATGGCAGGAGTTTTTAAACAATAATCTTCAATAGATTTAGCATACAGTACAGTGTAACAATTATATCAGAATTATTTCATTTTTTTTTTTGATTTTGGATCTGGAAAATTAAAACTGTACCAGTAAGGTCTCTTCTTATTTTGAAATTAAAGGGAAAAAAAAAATTAAAAAAAAATAATTTGAGAAGACAGTAAAAGTTGATTTTTTGTTCAGGTCTTTAAATAATTCCATTTCTGAATTGATCAAATGTTAAATTAATCCCATGGAAACTGTTTGTAGCAGCATGTCCAGTCTGCCTTACTTCACCAGAATACTAACCAGATTTCCATTGGTCAATAAAACATAAAATTTCCATGAAAATTACGGTAAAGATGAATTGAAACATTATCCAATACGCCTGAATTATTAAATGGGTTTTAATGAAGTTGTTAATAGATATAAGAAGTTGTGGTATGAGTGCCAATGACATGAATGAGTTAAGTTTATATGTCTCAAATTAAAAGTACTTTTTTCAGATCAAATAATCCTAAATAAATTTCAGTCTCAAACATAACATTTTTTTGGGGTGATTGATACCATTGTAGGTCCTGGATTTCTTTCAACATCACCAAATAGCACCTGCTCGCTAAAACCTTCACTGTTGTTAAGGCAGATGTTCTTTTGGTTAAAATACTACTCTCAACTTCATCACACTCTGAAACAATATACACATAGATATATATTTATATTATTAGATACAGAACAGAGATAAAGAGTTTTCAGTTGCATTATATACACACTCTTTAACTTGATTCATAAAATTAAAATGAAAAACGGTAAAAATCTTGAAAAAACACAATTTCAACAACTAAAGATTGCTTAAACATGTTAAAAGTACATTAATAGTGAATGATTAACTGCAATAATTTATATAATATAAAAAGAACTTTTTACAAACACAAATCACCATGTTTAAGATTTTTTTATATATTTATACATAAATTCTATTCAAAAGTAAGACTTTTAAAGAGGCAGTATGTGCAGAAAAAGCATTTTTCTTGAAAGAAATCAAACCTATCAACATATTTGTTTGTGCAAATGTAAATACATGTAATACCTCTTTAAACTTAATTTAAAATTCAAGTCTGTTGTCAGATTGAAAATGGTGACAATAATGTATACAAAAATATTGTTATTTACTGTATCCAATTAAAAAAAATATCATCTATTATACACTACCAAATGCTCTTTGTGTATCATTCTCATCACAGAAACTCCCCTGTTCCTCAACAGCATTTTCTTTATTTGGTATCTAATAAAAAGACAAGAGGCTGTCAGAGTGACAGCAAACCGGATTTTCCTGCAGAGGTTGAACCCTAAACAGTTGAGCAAGTATGGACACTATATTTAAGCTTAAAACAGCTCTGAATTTGGATTGTGATTGAATATTTGACACAGCATAGGTTTGTGACACAAAATGAATGTGGTTAAGAACTGAAATACTTGAAATTGGACATTTAAATACCTATTATGGTCCAATATCAAAAATCTAAGTACATATTAGAATCAGCATATCAAAAAACCCCAAGCATTCAATTTTTGATGAAATCAGACAAAGTTTAATTTAAGACCCTTTGGATCTCAATGTGGACCAATTTGATAAAGGAGCCCACAATCGAAAATCTCTCAATACATGGTTAGATTCAGCATTTCAAAGAACCCCATTAAAATTTTTTTTTTGTTGAATAAAACAAAGTTTAATTTTGGACCCTGATTTGGACCAACTTGAAAACTGGGCCCAAAAATCTAATATTTAAATACAGGTTTAGATTCAGCATTTGAAAGAACCCTATATATATTTAATTTATGTTGAAATGAAACACAGGTTAATTTTATCCATAATATTTTCTGTGCAAAGGGAAATAACTAAACTGGATAAATAGTTCTCTAAAATAAGATATGATGCAATTTTTCAAATTATAATCAATATAATAATAACAACCAGTGATGACTAAGTTCTCTAAAACTAGATATGATTTAACACTCAAACATTGCTAGAATCAGCATATCAAAGAACCAAAGAATTCAATTTTGATGAAATTAATCAAAAGTGTAATTTAGGACCCTTTGGACCTCAATGTGGTATTATCTTATTAATAATGAAAAGAAATACAGGTTTAGATTAAGCATTTCAAAGAACCCTATATATTTTCAATTTATGTTGAAATCAAACAGTTTAATTTTGGACCTCAATTTGGACCAACTTGTAAACTGGGCCCAAAATCAGAAATCTAAATATATGTTTATTATTAGACAATATAAGCTTAGTTTTTAAAGGAGTTTACTTCATCAAAAAAAAAAATATATATAGCATTCAGAAAATTAGTTTTTACAGAATAACAAACAAAATTGCCACAAAATTCTACAAACAATTTACCAAAGAAAAGAAGAAAAAAATCCAAAATTTTATTTATCATTAATACAATGTCATTTCAAAATCTATAAAACTTATCAGTAACAAGAAATAATTGTAACAGAATGCTGTTACGAAGTCTCCCAAACAAAGCTCCAATAATTCGTCATTCCCATTGTCGCTTGACATTGGGCAATGTCCAGTACAAATTGGTTTATGATATGCATTAGTGACGCCTATGGATTGACCCTGTATGTCATTAAAATCTTCTTGAAATTACGAACAGGAATTTATATGGTTTAGGGGTGGAGATCTCGACCGTTTACAAGTTCTCAAAAGGGGACTCTTCCTTTATTTTTATATGATTTTTTTTTTGTCCTGTTCAAGAATATATATGGTTTAGGGGTAGGAATCTTGACTGTTTACAAGTTCTTAAACAGGAGGCGGTGGGGGTGACCCCAGGGGACTCACCTTGTATTTCATTTGATTGGTTTGATTGTCCCATACAAGAATATATATGGTTCGGGGTGGAGATTTTGACCATTTACAAGTTTTTAAAAAAAAAGGGGTAGGGGGTGACCCCAGGGGACTCCCCCTCAATTTCATTTGATTTGTTTTATTGTCCCATTCAAGAATATATATGGTTTAGGGGTGGGGATCAAGACCGTTTACAAGTTATCAAAAAGAAGAGGGGTGGGGGTGATCCCCATGGACTTCCCCTATATTTCATTTGATTTGTTTTATTGCATACAAGAATATATATGGTTTATGGGTGGGGATCTCGACCGTTTACAAGTTCTCAAACAGGAGGGGGTGGGGGTTACCACAGGGAACTCGCCTTTTATATTTTATTTGATTTGTTTTATTGTCCCATACAAGAATATATTTAGTTTCAGGGTGTGCATCTTGATTGTTTACAAGTTTTCAAAAAGAAAAGGGGTGGGGGTGACCCCAATGGACTTCCCCTATATTTCATTTGATTTGTGTTATTGTCCCATACAAGAATATATATGGTTTAGGGGTGGGGATTTCGACTGTTTACAAGTTCTTAAACAGGAGGGGATGGGGGTGACCCCAGGGGACTCGCCTTGTATTTCATTTGATTTGTTTGATTGTCCCATACAAGAATATATATGGTTTTGGGGTGGAGATTTTGACCATTTACAAGTTTTCAAAAAAAAGGGGGGTGGGGGTGACCCCAGTGGACTCCCCCTCAATTTCATTTGATTTTGTTTTATTGTCCCATTCAAGAATATATATGGTTTAGGGGTGGGGATCTCGACTGTTTACAAGTTATCAAAAAGAAGGGGAATGGGGGTGACCCCCATGGACTTCCCCTATATATCATTTGATTTGTTTTATTGTCCCATTCAAGAATATATATGGTTTTGGGGGTGGGGATCTCGACGATTTACAAGTTCTTAAACAGGATGGGGTGGGGGTGACCCCAGGGGACTCACCTTTTATTTCATTAGATTTGTTTTATTGTCCCATACAACAATATATATGGTTTCGGGGTGGGGATTTTGACTGTTTACAAGTTTTCAAAAAGAAGGGGTAGGGGGTGACCCCAATGGACTTCCCCTATATTTCATTTGATTTGTGTTATTGTCCCGTACAAGAATATATATGGTTTAGGGGTGAGGATCTCGACCGATTACAAGTTCTCAAACAGGAGGGGGTGGGGGTGACCCCAGGGGACTCCACTTTTATTTCATTTGATTTGTTTTGTTGTCACATACAAGAATATATATGGTTTCAGGGTTGGGATCTTGTACAAGTTTTCAAAAAGTAGGGGGGTGGGGGTGAACCCGGGGACTCTCTAAATATTTCATTTGATTTGTTTTATTGTCCCATACAAGAATATATATGGTTTAGGGGTGGGGATCTCAACCGTTTACAAGATAAAAGCACATTCTCAAATTGAAAGGGGGTGGGGGTAAGAATATATATGGTTTAGGGAGACTTAAATATCTACAAAATGTCTAATAATGAACAGTAAATTTCAAATTTCATTTATACTGTCCTTAACTAGTAAATTTCAAACTTTATATATACAGTCCTACAGATCTTATCAGGAAACAGAAAATTTTCAAATAAATCTGTCACTCCAATGATATTATATGCTAAGATATAACCCAGATCTAATTAATAATTAATAATGTAATTAACTTCAAAATGTCTAATTATATAGCTTATAATCATTACCACTTAGGAAATAGATAATTTTCAAATAAATCTGTCACTCCAATTTTTATTGTGAGATAAGACATTATGCTTAGTCATAAAAAAGATAACAAGAGTAAAATATTTAAAAATTCCACTTTTGGATGATTAAAAAATGGCGATAACTCACAAAGGAGATAAACTAATATCTTGAAAATTGAACTAGACCTTCATTAAGTCCCAGGAAACAACATATTTAAATTTGAAAAAAATTTGTTAAAGCGTTTTCATGTTATTGTGCTGACACTGTTTGGCAGCCGCGCGTAGATCCGCCCAGCTGCCCGCCATACATCACCATTTTAATAACTGATATTTCCTTCGAAAATCCAGTTAAAAAAGTAAATTATATTGAAATTGACCACTCACACTACATATATGTATTTAAAAATAAATGGGGAATGTGTCCATAGGACACAGATGATGCCCCCGCTTGCACATCATATAAAGTTATAAAGGGACATAACTGAAGAACGGTAAAAGTGAACCATTTGGTTGAGGCAAACTAAAGTTAGAGAACAGAAGCCAATTAACTTTGGGAAATACCGACAGACAAGGGTAAAACTTAATTACCCCTCCGCTACAGCGGGCATAAAAAAAGAATCAAATGCTTGTTGATACCTGTATGTCCTTTTAATCCACGGGTTCAAATTCACTTTAGGCAAAGGAAGGTCCAACCTGACCTTCGACTAATAATACTTAAAGGTCCTCCATTATTTTTTGAAGAGCCAATTTTTTTTGATAATTCAATTCATAAAAAACTAAACAGACTCATTCTGTTTACTAGTTATGTTCTAATATTATATTCTCCAGTTTCCTGGTATCTTGTACGAAGACCCGTCACGAGGGTAAAGAATGTAAGTAACCACATAAGTTCCCTTTCAGTATAGTTGCATATATTAAGATCATTTTAATACTAAATTTTCATATTTTTGCTCAATATGTTTTTGTAATTCATTTGAACTGCAAATATATGAAAGTACATAGGGTGTAACTAACTACCGGTGGGAAGGTCCAAACCAGTAAGTGGAAGGTCATGGACCTCAGACCAACACCAATTTGAACACCTGTATTTTAGTGTATATAAATCTTCCATAAGTTCAAATATAAATAATACCATACAGCAGAATTAAATCCATATTAATTAAAGATGTTTGCTAGTCAGGTTTTTAAATTATTGTCAGATTTTGGAATTCCTCTAGTTCTGTCCATTTGAAGACCAAAAATTATTTTTGCCACTTACACTCATTTTTCTTTTCATAAATCTTTATTATGCCGGAGAGAAGCCAATTGTAAAAATCTTATCAAATTCTTGTAATTTTAGCATCCTAGCATTTTGTAATAGTGTTTGTGAAGTAAGATTTGTCAATTATAAAGATATCAAAATTCAAGAGAGAATTTCCCCCCCAAATTTTCAAAAGCTTATATCTCAAAAACAAGCACAAACAACAGAGTCCTTAAAAGTATTTTAGCTCTTTTAGTTGTCAGCGAGTGAGTGAGTGAGTTTATTACTCTCCTATCAATATTTACCAGTGTTAGGAAAAGCTTGATATTTTGAAACTGAGTAGAAAACATCCTTTAAGTAATTTACCATATTGTCAAATGGTGTGATGTATTCTGAATGTATATAACTAACCTGAAATGACAAATCTCTGTCTGTCTGAATTCTGCCTACAAAATAAATGAAGGCATAAGAACATAAATTATTATTTATTTTTTGCTTATAACAATCATATAATAGTGCACATTAAAGACCCATTGGTGGCCTTGGGCTGTTTTCTACTCTTTGGTTGGGTTGTTGTCTCTTTGACACATTACCCGTTTCCATTCTTTATTCTATGTTGATTATTTTATAAATGTGTCAAGCCTTAGAAAATTAAATCTATTTTCTCATGTTTATAGCATGTTGTCTATTTCTCACATTAAGAGATATTTCTTGCATTACACTGCAAGGAGTGAATAAAAAATTACATGAATATGATTGACTGGGAAATGATGGTGTAACATTCCAATTGGTTATATGATAAAAAGTACATGTATCCATAGTTACCTATTCAATTGTGTAATACAAGCTTTATTTTTTTCAAATGTCATGTACACGCTTTTTACATATTTACAAGCATTTTCTTACGTGATAGTTATTGGTTATGAGTTGTTTTTCTGTTCAACGTCCTTGAGTCCTTGAGTTCTTTGAATCGCTAATCTATCAAATGTTTTCATTTTTGTTTTGGGAAGATGCCAAGTGTTTGAATGAAGGCAGTAGTTTCTTGTGATATATGACATTATCAATCAAACCTTTTTTTATTTTTTCAGTATGGCCAAAATAACATGATCTATCAAAAAGTCTTCTTTTAAGCACATCACTGGACAAACAGGACAATTAAAGGTGCTTTGCAACAATAATCACTATGAATTTAATTAAATGATCAACTATTACATATATCCCATATCTCTGAACACAAAAAAGTTTCCTACTACGATGGCTTCAGTGAAAGTGGAAATATATACAAAGAATGAATTAAAAAATTAACATACTTTAATATGTAATGCTTTGCATAATCAATTGGGCAGAAATGTTTAAAATAAATAAAATGTGTACATTTTCTTCTTTCTTCATCACAGGCATTTTCTTCGAAGGCTGCATTGATATGGGTTCAAGCAGTTGCTTTTTTATGTGAGTCATTAAATATATGTTAGACTCAGATTGAAGTCCGGTCTCTAATCCACGTCCGTTCCTCAAATCAACGTCCAAATTTGACGTCACGTTCTAAAATCAGTGTCCAGTATTTTAACCCTCTTATTGACGTCCAATGTGATGTTATGAATCACAAAAACAACGTACGTTGTCGTTTTCTTTTCTTGTTCATATAAACAAATAAATGTGGGTATACATTGTACAACAATGAGACAACAACCCAAAGACAAAGATAATCAAAAGACATCTAGAGGGCAGTACATCTATACAGATTCAAACAATAGAAAGAATAAAAACGTACGGCAAATTGTTGAAAAGTATTATAATTTGGTTATATTTTTCAACAACTTTTTTGAGTTATAGGTTCATCCCACCATTGATAAGGATGAGATTTCACTGCGACACGTCAATAAAACGGACGTTGATTAAAAATGGACGTGGATTTGAGAACAACAAAAAAGACGTCGATTTAAGAGCGACATAAAATTGGCCGTCGATTTGGAATGTTATTTTATTGTGACGTCAGATTTGGACGTCGATTTGAGGAACGGACGTCGATTAGAGACTGGGCATCGATCTGGAGTCTTACATATATACAACAATACCTGATAAAAACTATGTTCCAGTAAAGCTTTGTTTGATAGGACAACAGCCACATCCTCGGTGACCCCAAACACTAGATCACTCGTCTTTACCCTGTATCTATTAAAAATGCACAATATTAAATATGAAATGAAAGTAACTAAAAAATTAAACAGTCTTAAACTAAAAGTAAAGGGATTTCAGTAGTTGTACAATCATTAAGTAATTTTATTGGTAGATTTTAATTTTTTTCAGCTCATGTGTATTAAAGTGAGTCCACTTCAAAATTATATCAATGGCCATTCATTATCTCTTTTTAGTTTTTTTTTTGTATCAGTGCTGTATCAAATAGACACAATTCATAATCTCTCCATGCATTATAGTGACCAAAGCATAATACCGTGCAGTTACTTTCGTGCATGATGATTAGGTCAATTGCCTTGTTTCTAACGATCTTATTAATCTTTAAATACGGTTTTACTAAAAAAGCTATAAAACCAGGTTAAATCCATCATTTCCTTCATAAAAAACGCCTGTACCAAGTCAGGAATATAACAGTTGTTTTCTGATTCGCTTCATGTATTTGAGCTTTTGATTTTGCCATTTGATAACGAACTTTACATTTTGAATTTTCCTGGGAGTTCGGTATTTTTGTTACTTTACTTTTTACATGTAACTTGCATATCTATCTTATCTAAATATCATTTAATTCCTCTGGAAAGAAGATGTATCATGTGTAATAGGGCCATATTTCTAGACGTTCAAAACAATAACAGCATGCATTCTTGTAAGAGATTTACCAGGAAAAAGTACAAAGGGGTTCAGAAATACACATTTTAAGGTTAAATGGCAAAATAATTATCATCCTTATGTAGGTATCTTAAAATAAATATGTAGTTCCAACTCAAACAGCTTTGTATTTTTTTCTGGAGAGGCCCTTTGTAAAATTGTTAACAAATAAAATAATGCATAGTGGAGCAAAACAAAAGATAAACAAATAAAGAGTAATGCAACAATGACCAACCCTGTTTCATAAGTGCCACTTCTTCATCTGTGAGACTAAATTAAGAATTAAGAATTTTAAGTTTTAGTTTTTTGGGATTAATTATTTAACATTTGATATTTATGAATAAAAAATACAGCATTTATTTTCCATCATAGATTTTATAAACATTTTATTTTGGAAAATGTATATAACATTTATCATGCATGCAGCTGGTTTAAAACGAAAAGAAAATTTTGATTTCATTCATGTCAATGTTGGATTTATCAGCCAAATAAAAAAAAACAACACTAAATGTACAAAATACTATCTGATGTTTTGCTATGTTCTCCGGGCCATCATTTATGGTATAATATTATTAATGACTATATATATATATATATATATATTATTATAAATGGCCATTTGTAGTTATACTATTCAAAATAATATGCTAACTGAGTCCTAACTGTTTTTTTCTTTTTTTCTACCAATCTCAACTGAAGACACACTCCTCCTTTTAAATGTAGGGACTCCAATTGATTTCTTCATTTCCATACACTGTAATCAAAATTAAAAAAAAAATAACTTTATTAACCAATAACCATGATAACAAAAAATATGATATTTTTTAAAATATTAGCTTTTATTTTTGTGATATGTACACTTCACATAAAAACTGCATTTACAAATATAAAATGTGTGTAACCTGAATAAACTAACACTTTGAGTCAACTCACACAAGGAAATCCCCCATCCAGCACTACTATTTTTATATTTATTATAAATCTTTATTGCAATTAAGTTAAAAGTCGAGTTGCTTGAAAACGGGGAAAACTTTTTTAATTTTTTGGTGTACCTCTTTAACATTTTTGAATGATGATTCCTTATAGAATTGTATAACAGTATTGTTCATTCTTTATGTTGTTCAGTCACATGTTACAAAAATGTAATCTCTACACAAAGTATGGTTATTTTCTGAAGAAACAGATAGCCTTTTGAAATACTGTGGATTGATTATTATTCATTGGATACCAATTTCCGTGGATTTCGTGGGTACATGTAAACAACGAAATTCAATGTTTTACGAATTACATATTTTCAATAAGGGTTTATGAAGACTTTTGCAAAAACCACAAAATCAAATATCCACGAAAAGGCAAGTTTTCCGCGATCCACGAAAATTGGTACCCACGAAAATAAGTGAATCCACAGTACAGCGGATGGCTTGTAGTTTAATTATTATTAAATTTCATAGCCAGCACCGTCATATTAAACGTAAAGGGAGATAGTAACTCAACTATAGTACATATATGTAAAAGACCCTTTCTGCAAATTTCGTTAAGAGTGGGCTCTTTGGGGCAGCTGTAGAGGCAATATTTGTTAGGGCAAATTCCAAGTATATTTCATTTGTCTACATGATTTATTTTCTTACGCTTGATTTGTTCAGTACAGTATACATTTTGTCTTGTATCTACAGTATATCCTGTTTTATTTTAGAAAATGAACAATGTGTCACTCTCATGAAAGAATTTTAAGCGTGCATGACTTTCCAACATATAGACTATTATAAATAAGTATCGCATAACTTTTTCAAATCCTGCTATCAAAATACAGGGACCCTTTCTCATGCAGTGTATAACTAAGTTCGGGTACAGCTACATGTATGCTTTGTTTATTAAATGTAAAGTAAATCTGAAAATTCTGTTTAAAAAATCAGACGACACGACCGTTTATATATATGTGACTGTTTATATATATATAATTCTTAATAGGAGAAACATAATATTTTTGTTTATGTATCTCCCAAAACTTTGTTTGTAGGGTGTATAAAAACAAAAAGTGACAGACATTCCTTTGGCATATGTTCCATTCATTCTTACAATATTAGACATTATTTTCATACCTTATTATCAAACGTGGTTTTAGTTTGGTCTGACCTGTTGCATGCAGAGGAAGTCTCACCACTTCAGCATAGGTTATCTTTGATGAACTAGATGCTGTATCAGATGGTGAAGTTGCAACCCCAGTTATGCACAGTGTTCTATTGGGGGCTTCCATCAATTCCATTGGTATAACTTGCTTCAGGTTGGAATTCCCTAGAATTAAAATGCTTCTCAACCTTTTCTGAAGTTTGTAAATCATATCTAAATAAATAAAATCTGTATACAAAAGTTTGTCGGATCCACAACAGATTTGGCAATTTTTTCTATTTAATAATAAAGGAGCATAAATACATGTAACTCAAGAACGGTTACAGTGACGGGAGTCAAATTCAAACTTGATCTGTGTTTTGTGGTAATAAGTAGTGTATAAGTTTTATAACATTTGTTGGGACAAACTAAAGTTAGAGACTAGAAAAGAAAGATTCAGCAATTTTTGCGTTAATAAAGGGGCATAACTCACGAACGGTCAAAGTGATGCCACTCAAATTCTAATAAATTAATCTGTGTTCTGTGAAAAAAATAATTGTGTGCAAATAAAGTAAGAAAATGGAAACCAATTTCTGTACAGACGGACATATGTATGGATGGACATCATGACAACAGTAAAAGTTAATGCCCCTTTGACTAGCAGTGGGGCATAACAAAAAAGTTATAATTATATTATTCATTCTGTCTTGGGATTTAGTAAATTTTCCAGATATTTTTTTTAACTTCAATCTACTTATATAGTTTGATTGTTGATTCATTCAGTGGTAAAATAATAAAAAAAATCACACCAGAAACATCATCTAATACAGGAATAGATTGTCACTAAATACTTGTGGCAAACTATTTTTTTTTTAGACCAGATACATTATCCAATACAAAAATAGATTGTCACTAAATACTTAGCTCTGTAGAGAAGAGATATAACGTGACAGTACCCAAATTGCACCAAGTACACAAATTGCACATATCAACAAAAACAGCTGTGGAAATCTTACAAGTTTTCTTTAAGAATAAACACTTAGTATTTTTATGATTTGACATTACACACGTCTTTTAACATAGCTGAATATATTTAAATATACACAAAACGTTCACAGTAAATATCAACAGATGAAGCTTTCACTGGAAAAAGTAAATCTACGGAATCGTCGTCATGCGATGTTCTCAAAAAGTCATCATTTCTTATTAAATGGATAGCAAGCATGGACTAATGTCAAATTGTTCTAAATATTTGAAGAAATGGAACAAAACATCTAGCTGTTATTCAATTCTTAAGGATGTGAATTTAAGCATGGCCAGCTGGCCGATGCAAGTTGGGTACTCCTCATATAAATGGAATCCTGGATCGTTTGGAGGTCGGTTCATACTCATTTTTCTATGATTCAATATGGATACAAAATTAAATTGTATAATAAACAAGTATACATCTACAAAATAAACACAGATTGGAAACTTTTGTCGGATCTCCTGTAGTTGGTGATCGCAATACTGGTATACTAGTATTGTGCACAATACTGGTATAAAAATTTTGTACCAGTATTGTATTCCAGTATTGTACCAGTATTGTGTTTTTTTTAAAATAAACAATACATATAGGTAAGTAATCTTTTATTAAAGGTGTCACATATATATGCATAATGATATTAACATATGACATGACAATTTTATATGGAATGATTGTATGTTTAACTGATTATGCCATTTATGGTACACTGTGATTGTAATCAAAGAAAGTTTTAAAACTTCTGATGTTTTTTTCTTAAGGGAACCATACTGTCTCAGCATTTTAACAAACTCTTTACTTACTTCTATCTTTTCTTCCAGTTCTCTCTTTCCAAGTCTCAATAGTATATTTTAGTGAATTTTATATTGACATTAATGCTGTTATAGCTTCTGTATCATCAGCATTGGTATTGTCTATTTCTTCTTCAGATGGCATTTCTGCAATCCCCACTTCCTATTTTTGATATTTATGTATTCAGTCTGTGGACTTTCTCTTACGCTTACTAGATTACAAGCTTGTTTAGATAGCACCTGTATGGCTCTCTTACTGTAGGAGTGCTTGTCTAGTATTAGTATTTGAGTATTTGTACCAGTAGATATATCTGCTACAAATTGTATTGCCCATGGTTCTGAATCAACTGCTTTAACTACCCTTAACATTCATGTAGACAAACTAGTAAAAGTAGTTAATTTGATTATAATCAGGTTCCCCTATTAAGCAACTTTTTATGTTTAATGGATATTGATATCTTTTATCATGTTTATTGTGAAAGATTGATAAGAAAATAAACACAAACAAATGCTTAGAATCTTAGTATACATGTATTAAAATATCTGTAAAAAATATACATGGCATACATGTAAATGCTGAATTTACAGTGTTATAGTGTAATAATTTGCTTGAATTTATTAAATAATAACTCAGATAATAAAGCTTTTATTTTATTTTATCTAAATTGAATTAAATAAATTATAGAAGTATGATAAAATTATTAGCAACTATTTATATAATTAACAATTGCTTGAATAAGATGATTTCATTACAATAATCTTTCGTTTATTTGTACAATTATAGTAATTATTTTTAACTGGTTGTTTATAGACCGCCATTATGTAAAATCACACAGGTTCCAGTAAACTTTGACATCATAATTCAAAACATTTGACGTCACAATTGAAAAGTGATTGTTGCCTGACGTCAAAAGGTGATTCGGAGTAGATCTAAGGTCATTCGGAGGCAAAATAAAGCTTAATACCAAAAGTGTAAATACGTTTATTGATTTCACAATTATCCTCTATAATCTTTTTGAGTTCATTTAATCTCTTTGATCTTCAATATCTAATTTTGCTTAAAATTCATTTTTCATTATACACCTTAAAGTATAGTGAACAATACAACTACAATACTGGTATATCAGTAATGTACCAGTATTGCTGTTTTTTAAAAAAAAGTTACAATACTGGTACAAAATTTTTATACCAGTATTGTGGACAATACTGGTATACCAGTATTGCGATCACCAACTACAGGAGATCCCTTTTGTCTGCATCATAAAAAAACGTAGGTGAAAAAAACTGTCAAAATAGGTGCAATTTGGGTACCGTCATGTTAGTTCTTAAACGTCTTCTCTAATGAATTTGTGCGTTAGCAGGTCCATGTATCTGTATCTTTATATTTTCTGCCAATATAGCCTAGGCACACCTTCACTTCAGTATGATGGTGTTTTCAGTTTGGCAAGCCGCAATCCCGGTAAAGGTTTTTTTTCTACACCTTACAAATTTTATTTGTTAATTCTAGAACTGAATTTGCTTACACTTTTATGTAAATATGACAATCTTGCAATAGGAACTAATTAGCTGCCTGTTTTTTTTATATAGCGTATTTCAAAAGAGAGAAAAAAAGAAACTTTGTATTTGTTTACCTTTTCTACCTCACACGTAGAGAGCTAAAATAAAATATAAAACTGAATCAAAATCGGAATTCTTCCGGAGTAATCGTTTAATCAATCAGTTTTTTAAATAAAATCTCTATACGCGTTGGCGTTTATGTTGTTTTCTCACTTTTGCAAGCATTTTATACACCGTTCAAGTTTATGTTTTTAATGAAATTGAAGGATACGGCGTTGCAAACAGCACTGTATGTAAAACCAGAGTGTATATCGTCTCTGGTAAAACCGAGTACATCGGGAAAACTGCGTTGTGTCGACTCGTTTAATATTTTCTAAAAATGATTTCATTATACCCTCAATATCATACCAGCTGATTACTATGACCAATCTGAATGTCATGTGGATATTTCTGTTTTGTTTCTTCTTTCAATGCTGTCTGTGCCCGACTTGTTGACGTTACTACCTGAGTGGTGACGATATTTCTAAGTCACGGCTTATCAGTTTTAACACGAAAAGGATCAGACAGCAAAGCCCTTCTTTTACCTCTTCTCGTATATTGTGTGACTGATTTGGAATTTTTTCCTTATGAAAATCATGTTGGTGCCATTCTTCACGCCATTTTCTTTGAATCAAAACAACCCTTGTCATGATTTTTGATGTCCCCGAATTGAACATATTTTGTTATAACTACCAGCAGGTAACATCTATACTGTACAGTATAAAAGTATACTGTTGTTAGTGTTGCTAGCAGACTAATTTTACTAATAGATTCCCACTAATAGTGGCTAATATTGCCGGATCGGGTGGATTATTACACTAACGTTATCGTCAAAATATGTTATAATATTAATAAAATTCATAGTATTCAAGGTTCATACATAGGGTTTGAGGTTCTGTCATATTTCTGAAAATGTTATTAAATGGCATCTACTTACATATTGCCAAAGCTGCAACAGCGATAGTCTTTGGCAAGTTTTAGAAAATAATCAAAAATGAATATGAAGGACATTTAAACAAAACTAAAATACATTGTTATCAACATTATTTCAGTTCATATTAGTGTATTTTGGTTTCGAAACATCGTATCTGAATTCAAATCAGTGATGATATAAAGCTTCGTTTAATATTTTTGTAAATTATGTAGATATTCATCAAAAAAAAAAATTTAAATTTCAAATTCTTCTAGTCTGCACCAACTTTCTGATTTTATCACGAGAGAGCAAAGGGGAAATAAAATTGACATTATCTCTTTTCTAGTTCTAATAAATATTCAATTCATGTGTAAAAATTGAATGTAAAAGTTTAAATGGTAAGTCAGGTGCACTTGAAATTCATATGCTTCAGAACACTATTTCAAATGATTTTACTTTCAGTCAGATTAAGAGCTGTACGGTGATCTGGACGGGGGATCTTTATACGTCTATTCTTTAATTTTTAGTTTTGTCAACAGTTTTAGAAAAGGTCTACACACCTGAATAGGGTTGGCGAAAATTAGATTCCTTTGTCCAAGCAAAATCAAAGTCTGAAAGTTTTACTAAAATTGGTTCATTCAAGGCATGAGTAAAAATTTTTTAATGGGAGGAGAATTCTAATTACTGTTATACGTATGCGATTTGAATTGACAAGCAAAAACTATCTAATATGTATAAATATGAAGACACGATGATATAAAAATAAGAAGATGTGGTATGATTGCCAATGAGACAACTCTCCACAAGAGACCAACTGACACAGAAATTAACAACTATAGGTTAAATTAACGATGATGTTTACATAGTGCCTTAACTATAAGTTATACTAAAATTAGAGTTAGCTTCCATAAAAATAGATTTAGCTTCCTTAAAAATAAAGTTATCTTACTTAAAATAGAGTTATCTTCCTTAAAATATAGTTATCTTCCTTAAAAATAGAGTTATGTTCCTTAAAATATAGGTATATTCCTTAAAAATAGAGTTATCTTTCTTCAAAATAGAGTTAGCTTCCTTAAAAATAGAGTTATGTTCCTAAAAAAAAAGAGTTTGCTTCAGAGTTAAGTGTCTTGTGATTTATTTTTTCCCATATGCAGCTTTACATTTTTCATCAGTAACTTTCCATCTATTTTATATATAAACAAAAGGAAGGAAGATATCTTGGGAACAAGAGTTTTAAAATTAACAGAACGTTTTCTCTCTACCTTTGAAATATACTAAGTATACTGTTATATGTAGCCATTATCGATGATAATGTGTACAGCGTATTGCATTATCGATGATAATGTGTACAGCGTATTGCATGGCAATACAATATACAAGAAAAAAGTTATAGTCGCTTATTTCAATCTTTAACATGTCACGTTTCACTCAAATGCATCAAATTATACTAGATACGTCTTTTGGACCTTTTATGTCTTTATACGGTATGGGTATTGCTCATTGTTGAAGGTCGTACAGTATCATATGGGTGTTTAAATGCTCGTCCTTTGATCTCCGGTAGAAAGTTGTCTCATTGACAATCCTATTACATCTTCTGGATAATTTTTATAGAAGATGTGTTGTACTTCATATCATATACTTTTATGTAGCTTTGCTGAACAGAAATATGGTGGCTGACTATTCATTTCTATCCCTTTATGTAAATCTTCATGTGGTGCCCTTTTACTTAACCTAAAATAATCAAGCAATGTAGGAAAAGTTGTGCTTACAAGGTTTATTGACTAGTCTGACGTGCAGTGTTCTAGCTAGGATTTAAGGATTCTGGTCTGAAAAGGAACAAATTGATCATATTCTCAAAAATAAAATTGAAAATGATCAAATATGTCAATGTTTTTTTGATGGATATATATATATGTGTGTTTTTGTGATAAAAAGCCTTTTCCATTTTTTTTTTTGCAGTGAAAAGTATTTAGTTGGGGTACGATCATTTGATTTCCTTGGGGATTTTCATTTGTTTCCATGTAGGCTTATTTATTTCGCGTTGTAATGTATTTACTCGTGGCGACATGAAACGGGATTCTGTATTTATAAAC